AATCAAATGAACGGCGTTATAGTTGCAGTTGCAAATTCACAGTAGGAATAAAAATAAAAAAAGTTCTGTTTTAAATCTTGACATAAAAAGAAAGAAGAACAAATAGTATAAAGAGATAATTGGCTAAAGTGTCTTATTTGGCACCTATAATTAGAGAATTGCCCATGATGTGACAATCACTTTCCTTTGAACCATTTTGCCTTTCTCTACACTCTATCTCCTCTCTTTGACATCTCCTTTTTTTTTTTCTCTTCAATCCCTAATTATTTTACAAATCTTTATCATTCTATATACAATTAAATTTTAAATTTCATTATTTTTTCATAAGTGGCTTTGAATCCTCAATTTTGACCTTTTTTCTCTCCAATCCCTAATTATTTTACAAATCTCTATCATTTTATATACAATTAAATTTTAAATTTCATTATTTTTTTCATAAGTGGCTTTGAATCCTCAATTTTTTGATGATATCAATTTTCTGGGTTTTAGATTCGACGTCGTGTTAGCGGTTAACAAATATTGTAGACGTTAACAGAAGTGTTAACTGTTAACAATTATTTTTACGCTTCGCGGTAATAGATGTGTTGGCTGTTAACAAATATTGTAGACGCTAACAGAAGTGTTATATGTTAACAAATGTTTTTACGCTTCGTATTTAAAACGGGCTTTCCGTAAACGGGCATAAACGGGCTCCGTGTAATTATATTGTCCGTTTAAGGCCCGTTTATAGAACAAAGTTAAACGGGCTTGGTCGGGTTTGTCCGTTTATGCCCGTTTAGTAAACGGGTTAATACCAAATTAGTCGGGCCGCCCGTTTAGCCCGTTTAGCCCGTTTATATTTTTTTTTTCATTTGTAAAACGTTGACGTTTTATTTGTAACCCTTTAATAACCTAAATACTTTTCTCTGCAGATCTAACCCGAAAGAAAAAATTCTTCGTCGCTATTTCAGTCTTACGGTAAGATCTCATCATCTCCTTCTCTGTTTCTGTTTCACCTCTTCTCCTTCTCTGTTGATCCACATTTAATATCCTTCTCTGTATATAGCATGCTCATGAGTTTCCAGAGTTTTAATGGTGGTTCTTGATGATATAATCAGATGACGGGAGGTCCGTTTAGCTAGAGTCCAGTTCTCTGAAGCTTAGATCAAATTTGCTAGAGCTTGAGGCACCCATTAAAGTCTGTGGTATGTTTTATCGAAAACCCAATTTTATTCTTTGCTTACCCAATTGATTTTAGGGTTCACAATGAAACCCAACGTTCTATGCCGAATAGGATGTTCATTGTGATATGTTGTATGAGTTTGAAAGTGTG